TTAAAAAGTCTTAAAAGGCATTGAATTTTTCAAAATAAAATACGGTAAATTAGTCTTTCGTAGGCCTTAATTTTTAAAACATCATAAATAGGATTATTTTTATTATGATTTATTTTTGTAATCTAAATAAAACATTAAAATTGACATTTTTTTTTTATTTAAAAAAAATAAAGGCTCGCCATTATTGGTTCCGTCCCGATAGCGGAACCAATAAAAGCGTTGTTGCACAAGCATCCCAAAGACTGATGTCTGAGTTTTTGGTCAACAAAATGGATATGACCTGATCAGATATATTATTGGTTCTGTGAGGATTTAATCTAGTATCTCATGACTTCTTAATGTGTTGGTCCAAGATGGAGTCAGATCCACATCAGGATGGTGAGCTGTGTCATTTTTTCCAGTGATTTTAAGCAAGATTGAACCTGGAAAAAACCCAAAGGGGAGTTTTAATGATTTATACATGGAAGAGCTGGAGATTAAATTGCCTGTCTGTGCGTAAAAGTGATGCCATTAACTTTAAGTCCGCAAAACTAAATCTAATCCATCTAATTCTACACGTTTCTGTGACTTTGCTCTTGACTTTCACTTTTTTTTTCATGAAACTTATAAATTTATGATGTTTCTAAGAGCTACCTTCTCTTTCTGTTGTTTGCTGTATAATGTTCTACAAAGTTTTATAGAAATACTTTTTTCTTACACATTCAGATTAGATGTATATAACTTGCACTCACTCCTCTTCAAACAGCATCACCATCAATCTCAAATAAAGCTCTACTGCCCTCTGCTGGACATGTGGAGAACAAATACAGATTATGAGAGCATCCATTGGTATTATATTATGAATAAGCCATTTTTAAACCGTTAAATAGCTTATTTTACAATGATAATTTTTCAATACAGTCTCAAATAATTAATATTGTTATTTTTTATCATTGTTTTATTAAAATGCCTTGTAATTATTAAAATTCTTTCCTGTTGCTTTCGATTTCAGATGTATTTATACATGGGAAAATGCATAGTGGGTATGATGTTTGGTCAAATAATTACAGTAAGAGCAAAGCACCCTGGAACCCTTTCTTGTTGCTTATATTAAACCTCACCAGTTGGTTAGAAACATAAACTTTCCATCTGTAAATTTACCCTGTAAAGTGTAGATTGGTGCTCTATAACCTCTCTGCAGTCATATTTCTATCTGATAGTTGAGTTAAACATCTGAGCGTTATTGGCTGGCATCCCCGGCACAGTTTGAACACTTTACTGTCACTCAGCCATCAGTCTTTGGGATGCTTGTGCAACTTGCTTGCAGTGGTTTGCAACACTGGTCCCAGTTCATGCAGAGAGGAGGCAACGCTTTGCTGAAAAGATCAGTTGGAGTTTTCAGTTAGAGAGGACAAGAGGGGAGTGTAAATAGATTCATGGGTCTGCGTCTGTAGATGGGATTTAGGAAATGAATAGGAAGCCTCTCTGATCGTGGCCCTCAGTCCCTGTGGAGCCGTTGGACTCTGTTGTTCGTCTCTACAGTTCATGCGGAGTTCAGTGCAGCTCCGTCTCCCCCTCTCTGATGAGTTCACATTCATTGTTGGTTTATCGTATATCATATTCTGTTCCCCTGATATCGGTGACCTTCTTTTTGCTTTGCCACCATCCGGTGAATAACAGATTGATCCACGGTGTCTATGCCAAGGATTTCACCTTATTAATGTGAATGAATCTGAAGGGAACTGAAGGAGAAAACAAAGACAGGACATTCAAAGTAACAAAATGATGGTGCATCTCTGATAGCGTCCACTAAGGGTCAATAAATCTTTTTCTTAATGGTTCATAAAAGCACCAGGATTATCAGCTTTAGCCTCACTGTTGTGTAACCTTTTTCCTCCTCGTCTTTCCCCAGTGCTCTAAATCCTGCGGCCGTGGATTGAGGAAGCGGACCGTGTTCTGCCGCAGCACTGATCCAGGGGCCACTGCGGTGGTGGTGCCCGACAGCATGTGCAAACAGCACCACAGGCCAAAAGCCCAGGAGACGTGCGTCCTACGGAGGTGCCCCAAGAACGACAGACTTCAGTGGATCCCGACGCCCTGGGGAGAGGTGAGAGAAAAAGCTGGATTAAAGGGAGATGCAAAATCCCCTTTGGGTTTTATTTATCATTTTTTTTGGTTTCTCATAAAACCCAAGACTTTAATTTTAAATGTGGAAAAAAGTAATCCAGTTTTTCACAATTTCTAGGGGGTATTTTCTGTTATACACCCAAATGATATCCAGCACAGAAATATATTTTTTTATAAGTTACCACGTTACTGAACTTTTTTCCACCCATGATCAGTTTAATCCAATTAAAATAGCTTAACTTAGGAGGTTAGCTAATAAACGACTTGTTATTAATTGTCAATTGATGTTTATAAGTTTACAATATGTCCCGTTTTAACTAAAGATAGTTTGAATTTTGTTTCCAGTCCTCTCTATTGATTGTCTGTGTGTTGTAATGTTACCGCTGTCCACTAGAGGGCTACTCTATCTTAAGCAGAGATTCACTGTTAATAAGTAGGTAATGCTGGGGAGGAGTCTGGTCCTGAATTATTTATACTGTTTAACGACCACAAGGATGCAGAATGCACTTTATATTGTTCTGTTTGTAATAATAAAATCTATAAATTGCTATAGTTATCACCTGCATGGCGAAGCACAGTCAGTTCCTCTGCTGAGGAAAAAAAACCCAAACTTTATGATTTAAAAAAGTCAAAAGCAATTTTCTTGCCATTGTGCAAAAATTTGAAACAAGATGTTAGGTTTATTCAATGATGATTATAAAATTAATGTGTGCTTATGAAACATTTTTGCAAGGGGATGCTCCACTCCTGTCTCATGATTCAGTCAGGTAGACGTTGCTTGATATCTAACCTGCCTGAGACGATGTATAAACAGTTACCTCGAACAAAATCACTCAACAGGTTCACTTCAATTTCAATTCATTTATTGAAAATATAAAAATGCAAACATTCGTCTTTGAGGTAGACAGTCAATCAGATTCAGCTCATTGACCTTTTTTGACAATATTGTGCAAATCAAAATAATTTGAGTTGTAAAATACACAGAATTAACAACACAAAATAGTGCAAGTTTATATGTGGCAAAAAATGCTACATGTGCCAAGGCCAAAAGTTGCATTTTATGTACACTTACCGGCCACTTTATTAGGTACACCT